CACACACACACACACACACACACACACACACACACACACACACACACTGGCTTCATTTCCGCTGTCAGAGGGCTAGCAAAACAAACTAAAAAGAAAACAAAAGGAGAAATGTTTCCCCTTTTGCATTTGAACATGCAAAAAGGGACAGGAAAGGAGAAAGGGAAAGAGGAAAGGGAAAGAAAAAAAAAGGGAAGATGGGAAGAGAGCAAGGAAGGAAAAAGAAGGAAAGAGGGGAAGGAAGAAGAAAGGCAGATGAAGAGGGGAGGAAAAAGAAGAAAAGGAAGGAAGGAAGGAAGGAAGGAAGGAAGGAAGGAAGGAAGGAAGGAAGGAAGGAAGGAAGGAAGGAAGGAGATTGTAAGGAGAGTGAGAGAAGGTCTGATGGAAGTCCTGCCTTAGTATTTGGCCACCACAGGTGCCTCTGACACAAGTGATGTTGAGTTGGCCACACCCACCATGGCCACACCCATCCTGACCATGCCTACCCCAGCCACACCCACCCCAGTGTCCCAAAGTCAAACACAAGCCTGATGCAGACCTCAATGGAAGGAAGGAAGGAAGGAAGGAAGGAAGGAAGGAAGGAAGGAAGGAAGGAAGGAAGGAAGGAGGGAAGGAAGGAAGGAAGGAAGGAAGGAAGGAAGGAAGGAAGGAAGGAAGGAAGGAAGGAAGGAAGGAAGGAAGGAAGGAAGGAGATTATAATGAGAGTGAGAGAGGGTCTGATGGAAGTCCTGCCTTAGTATTTGGCCACCACAGGTGCCCCTGACACAAGTGATGTTGAGTTGGCCACACCCACCCTGGCCACACCCACCCTGGCCTACCCCACACCTACCCCAACCGCACCCACCTCAACGAAACTTAGTTTGATCACCCCTGATATATATGATCACAAGTCCCACAGCTCCAGGACTTGCAAGCCCTGAATTGGGCCAACTCCACTTGAGAGACAGACATCCACAAAGGAGTAATGAGAAATGCAGCACTTACCCTGCCCCAGATGCTACCAGGAAGGTAAACAATCATGTGTATAGTTTTTAATAATTTGTTGAAATGGGCATCCTCTTCGGAAAAGCGATGACCGAACACAAAATTGAATATAATGTTTGAGACTGCTTTGACTATAGGAGTTCGGGGATCAAAGGGCAATTCTGTGAAGGGAGAAAAGAGAGTTGTGTTCACACAGGAGACTTCATCAGAGGCAGTGAAGACCCAGTGATAGAATCTATATAGCAGTGGTCCCCAGACTTTTTTGAAAAAAGGAACTGGTTATGAGGAGGACAATTTTCCATGGACCAGCAGTGAGTAGGGTGGTGGTTTCATGCACTACCCAGATCCTGCGCATGCACAGATGAAGCTTCACTCATTTGTGTGCAGTGGTGGTTTGCTACCGGTTCAGCCCAGTTCAAGAGGAGAAAGAAGAGAAAAGCTAACCCTAACCCTAACCCTAACCCTAACGTACTAACAGCCAATGGATTCCAAAGAAAGAAGATTACCCACCTAATCCAAAAAGAAACCCCAACCAAAATCCAAGACAGAGAACAAGAGAAAGCCCTCCTCCCATATATAAAAGGCACTACAGACAAAATCAGCAAGATCCTCCAAAAACATAACATTAAGACAGCATTCTGCACAAACAGAAAAATATCCACCATCCTAAGAAACCCTAAAGACAAAATCGAGTTAGAAAACCAAGGAGTATACGAAATCCCTTGCACCGCCTGCCCCACCACAATCATCGGACAAACCAACAGAAGAATAAGTGCACGCACTGAAGAACACAAGAACTCAATCAAAAAAGAAGAACCAACCTCTTCCCTGGTCCAACACCTCAAAGCCACAGGACATGAGATTGACTTTAAAAATACCAGAACTATCACCAAAACCGAACACTTCAACAACAGAATAATCAGAGAAGCCACAGAGATAGAAAAACGCCCACACAGCATGAATAAACGAGATGATACCCCCCGCCTACCAGCCATTTGGAAACCCGCCCTCACTAACAAACGAGTACCTAACATGAACAATGACACCAGACCCACACCCACGAGGGCACACAAGATGCTACCACCACACCTCCACATAGAAAACAGACTCACACCCACACAGATGATGAGACACGACCACGGGCCAGAAGCCATACCACAGCTGCATCACTACCCGCTTCAAACCCCTCTGACCCATACATGAAGTGAACGGATGCACACCATGAAGATGTGGCATGACCATGAACGTGAAGCCAAACAACAGAATCACAGCTCACCAGCTCAAATCCCCCGGCAACTAAGACTAACCTGAGCACAACCAAGCCCCCACCTGAACAGAACACACCCCCAACCAATCAGAACACAGCCAAACCCCCAACTAATGAGAACACACCCCCACCCAATCAGAACACAGCCAAGCCCCCATCCAATCAAGTCACACCCCCACTAGCAGTTAAAAGGAAGAAGCAGCTGCAAGCTCACATTACTCCGAGAAACACAAAGCTGAAGACATAAGTCTGAAGGTGATGAATGAGATTTCGTCGAAATGTCGCCTAGATACTTCCAATTTTACGCAGGAGAAAACCCAAATAACCAAAGATCCACATACAAATACCCGCGAAAACCTCAGAGAAAACACACACACACACATATGTTGTGGCTCCGGGCTTGGATTCAGCTCCTGTGACTGATATGAGTTCAAGTGAGGAGGACATGGCAGAAAAATATGAGCCAGCATGGCTCAGTGATTGGACTGGTAACCAGGATGAGGAGATGGACGTGACAAAGGACGACAGACCTGATGTATTAGAATTGTCAGGACCTTTGACCTCCTCTGGTTCCTTATCTGATCAACAGCCGGGAATGGCTGACAGGGAAGTTTTGAGAGAGTCTTCTAGTGGAGATGAGAACTTGGAAAATTTGTGGTTAAATGTAAAAAATAGAAGACGGTTGAAAAGGCAAAATCAGCTGAAGCAAATGAGAAGAGCAAGTCAGTAAATTAGCACGTTGCCTTAATAGGTATAAAAGGACACAGCTGGGCTGGTGTATTTTCGCCAGGAACAAAATGTCTATTTGAGTGAGGACGTTACAGCAAAGAGCTCTGTGGTTGAGGATTTATTGCCAGGACTGGTTTGCCGGACAGAGTAAGACTTATGCTGTGGTTTCTGTCAGCCGTTATTTACTAAGACTTTTTCATGTTTGATTTAGTTGTGAAGCGACTGCTTCCCGTTTTGTTTGTTGAATTTCGAAGGGGAGTCATAACACACACACATATATATGTGTGTGTGTGTGTGTGTGTGTAAATATATGTGTGTGTGTGTGTGCATGTGTTTTCTTAAGTTTTCATGGGTACTTACAAGTATGGTATTCAGCTTTGTTCGAGTATTTTCCCATGTCATTGAAGTTGTGCTTTTAAAGCACAGCTACAATGACGAAGGAAAATACCTGAACAAAGCTGAATACTATATATATATATGTTATGCCTCACCTGTAACCACAGGTGAGCAATCACAATTCTGAAGTTCCAAAAATATAAGCAACCAGAAACAAACCCAACCAAAATAACTGCCGAAGTTTTTCCAGTCCTCAGCAGTAATTCCGTTATCTGTTTGGCAAACCTGAAGTGCCTATAAATCACAATGCCTCAGAGAATCTTCACAAGACTTTTGCTCTGACAAGACACTTTGCTTCTGGCAAATTTCTCAAGCCAATCCGTTTCCTTTTATCCCCTAAAGGGGGCGTGTTAGTCTCATTAATCATTGGCTTGACGCTTCTTTCCCAATTGAGATTGACGTCCCAATCTCCGTCTATTTCTCACGTCAAGCCAAGATCCCTCCAACCCCTCCTCCTCCGCACTTGAAACCTCTCGCATGTTTTCCTGATTATTTGTTCCCGGCTGCTGTATACTCAGAGAGGGAGATTCGGGGGAGTTCACCCCCAATAAATCAGGTTCGTCTCTCATAGCTAAGCCCACTTCCTCATCCTGGCTGCCCTCAGAATCACTCAGCAATGCAGGCTCAAATTTCACTGCCAGATCGTCTTCGCTCGAACCCGGAGTCACAACATATATATATATATACATACACACACACACACACAAACACACAGTATGATCTTTCCTCCCTGTCTCTCTTCTCTCTATATCTATATCTATATCTATATCTATCTATCTATCTATCTATCTATCTATCTATCTATCTATCTATTTATCATCTATCATCTACGGAATGATCTTTCTTTTCTGTCTCCCCCCCTCTCTATCATCTATCTATTTGTCTGTCTATCTATATATCCATCCATCCATCATCTATCATCTAGCTATCATCTCTTTTCTCCCTCTCATCTATATCTATCTACGATATCTGTCATATCTATCTATCTATCTATCTATCTATCTATCTATCTATCTATCTATCCATCTATCATCTATCTATCTTATGATCTCTCTTCTTTGTCTCTCTTCTCTCTCTCTATCATCTGTCTATATCTGTCTGTCTATATATCCATCCATCCATCCATTTATCTATCATCATCTGCCTATCACCTCTCTCTGTCTTGTCCTCTGTCTCTGTCTCTCACTCATCATCTGTCATCTATCTAATCTCCAAGCACTTTGGGGAAAATAACATATATGTTACCTTGTTCATCATATTCTTCCTGTTTTCTAATGTCCCTGCCTCTCCTTGAAAGCCAGATATATCCTGGTGGTCTCCTTTCCAAATATTAATCAGGCGCAAATATACTTAGATGCTAGAAACTATGGTTACCTGCTGGCACTCGACTGGGCGTAAATCAGACATAGTGAAGATAAAGGTTCCCCTTGCACATACGTGCTGGTCGTTTCCAGCTCTAGGGGGCAGTGCTCATCTCTGTCATGAAACCGAAGAGCCAGCACTGTCCAAAGATGTCTTCATGGTCATGTGGTCGGCATGACTAACCGCTGAAGGTGCACAGAACACTGTTCCCTTCCCACCAAAGGGGTCCCTATTTTTCTACTTGCATTTTTACATGCTTTCAAACTGCTAGGTTGGCAGAAGCTGGGACAAGTAATGGGAGCTCACTCCCTTACACGGCGCTAGGGATTCAAACCACCAAACTGTCAACCTTTCTGAACGACAAGCTCAGCATCTTAGCCACTGAGCCACCACGTCCCTTAAATTAGACATAACAAAGTTTTAAAAAAGAACAGTGGTGGTGGTGGGGGATCCCAACGTCACCCTGGGCCATTGCAGGGTTGCTCATTGCTGCTTTATTGTGCAGTGAGGGGGGAGGGGAAAAAGAGGTCACCTTTCTTGCTCTTAAACACCTTCAGCAGATAATGTGCCTCCTGCTGGATCTGGTTCTCCAAGATCTTCTTTCCCATACCCAGATTTCGCAGGGCCATCATGACAAAGCGCTTCTGCTTTCTCCAGATAGGGCCAGTGGTCATAAAAACACCTGCAGACCAAAATTGGATCATCTTATCTTATAAGTATATAAGATCTTGGTAAAACAGCTGGGTTCTCTAAGGTTCTTTTTTCAAGAGGCAAGTGGACTTTCCTTGTTTTTCCATGAAGATGCTTCACTTCTCATCCAAGAAACTTCTTCAGTTCTTCTTCAGATAGATAGATAGATGATAGACTGAAAGACAGACAGACAGATGGATAGATAGACACAGATGGTAGATAGATGGATAGGTAGATAATAGAAACATAGAGAAATAGAGATATAGATAGACAGACAGACAAATGATAGATAGATAGATAGATAGATAGATAGATAGATAGATAGATAGATAGATAGACAGACAGATAGATACATAGATACATAGAGATAGATAGAGATAGATAGATAGATAGATGTATAGGAAGATAGGTAGAAGGAAGATAGGTAAATAGGTAGATGGATAGATGGATAGATAGATAATAGATTCATAGAGGAATAGAGATAGAGATAGACAGACAGATAAATGATAGATAGATAGGTGGAAAAGAAGATAGGTAGAAGGTAAATAGGTAAATGGATGGATGGATGGATGGATAGATAGATAGATAAATAGGTGATAGATAGATAGATGATAGATAGGTGGTTAGGAAGATAGGTAAATGGTAGATAGGTAGGTAGGTAGATGGATAGATGGATAGATGGAAAGATGGATAGATAGATAGATAGATAGATAGATAGATAGATTATTTTTAGCTTTTGATCGTCTCTTTTAAATGATATCTAGATGTTGTTTATCTCTATGTGTCCATCGATGGCTGATTTGACTGCATGCCAGGCTTCCAGGAATTTTCTAGCAATTTTGGCTTGGTCAAGGTGCTCACACCTTCCCAGTAGAAACTGATTAAGTCTATTCAATGTGTTGTACAATTAAGGAGTTTTAATCATGTCTTCTGACAGCTAGACAATGTTCATGGATGTGCTATGTAGCTGGGGCTGATGGAGGTCAAGGGGACAGCCTTGTTGGCTCCAGGGGAACATGAGGTAGAGCAGGAAGAGGCAGCCCCAAGTCCAGGGGTGGGATTCTACCAGTTCGCACCTATTCGCTAGAATCAGTTTTTAACATTCTAAGCAGTTTGGAAAACCAGTTGTTAGAAGAAATTACTGGCCTAATCCTATAAGGAAGGCAGGAAGGAAACATTCTGGTGTTGCTTACAGAAACTGCCTCTTCGTTAACCCTTATGACATTCTTGGCAGGACTAGACTTCCTGTCTCAGAAACTCTTCTGGAGTTTTTTTCCCCCTCCTTTGCTAGCACTTTGCTTGTGTGGAGTGACCATTCAAAGTTACAATGGCACTGAAAAAAGTGACATGACCATTTTTCACACTTACGGCTATTGCAGCATCGCCATAGTCATGAAAGGCCAGGCAAGGAGATGCGTGCCTCGATGTGAGTGATGTTGAGTTGGCCATGCCTAGCCAATAACATGACCACCAAGCCATGCCCACCAACTTAGCCACGCCCACAGAACCAGTTGTTAAAAAATTTGAATCCCACCCTTGCCCAAGTCCCTCAGGCCTGAGACAGTTTGCTAGCAGGGAAGATCTGGAGGAGAATGACCATGGGAGCAGGAAGTGGAGATGAGGAGCAACGGAGCTCAGCCGATGAGCTAAGAGTGCCCCCTTCTGATCCCCGAGCACAGAGAGTGGAGTGGAGGTGGGAGCAGCACAGGCCGACCCAACAACTCAGGAGGAGAGTGCCCCGCCCCTCTTCACAAAGCATACCTGGGGACTGAGACTTAAGGAGACGCTGTGGGGAGGGACATTGTTGGGAACAAACACTGAATTCATGGAGTGTTATGTGCCGTTGCTGACATTTGGATTTCACTGGACATCTTGCCTTATTGCTGCTTTTTTTCTTTGCCCTGCTGGACTTCTTGCCTTGAAGTCATTGTGCTAACAGCATTTTGTTGGACTACTCGCAGCCTGAGGCTGCTGGAGGTGTGTGTGTGTGTGTGTGTGTGTGTGAGAGAGAGAGAGAGAGAGAGTGCTTTGTTCTGGGACTTGTCATAAAAGTGAAAGCGTTTGGGGAAAAGTTGGAGCAATAAAGGGGAGTTTGAACTATCAGCTGGCTATGTTGCCTCTATGCCTTGCTCTGTGTCATCACACTGGCCTCCCCATTGCCATTACTTGTCATATGGTCACAAAAGGTGTTCACGTGACTCCGGGACACTACATACATGCCAGATGCCAAGCATCTGAAGTTTGATCACTTGGCCATGGGGATGTTGCAAAGGTCGTAACTGCAAAATGGTCATAAGTCATATAGTCCTGTTGTAACTTTGAATGGAGACTAAACAACCTGTCATGCCCCTGTCCGAATCTGAACCAGAGAAGGAAGACGAACAGCTGACAGGGAGTGGGAGTGTGGCTCCGTTGGCTGTGGAGGAAACTGGGGAAGGACAAAGTCCGGCTGGGCAGAGCAGGGAAGAGCTAGACCAAGGGAGAAGGCACACAGGGAGGAACGGAGAAGAGAGCAATGTGGGTTGCATGGCTTACGGGGGAGGAAAGGGCCCTGATTCCCTTCATTAGCCACACCTGGGAAGAAAACTTAAAAGAACTGAATGCTGACTGTGGCAGTTGCTGGGAGAAAACGTGATTTTATCCTGTATTGTCGTTGCTTTTCTATGTTCCTGTCATCTTCCCAACCGTGTGAGTTTTGCTGTGCCTTCACATCTGGAATTCTTGCTCCTGCCCTGCCAAACCAATTACCTCAGTTTGGCTTGATTGGACTTAAAATTACAGTTTTTGTTGACCACATTTTGGACTTGATTCTCTGCAGCCAAAGGCTGTTCCTGGAAGAGTTTTTCTCCAGCCCAGAGGATAACCAGGACATTGGGGGCAAAGTTGGAGCTAATAAAGGGAATCTTATTGATTATCTGGCTGTGTTGCCTTTGTGCCACGACCTGGGTTATCACACAACCTGTTGTAAGTTGAGGACTACCTATACTCTTAGCCCAACATTTTTCAAAGGGGTTGCTGTTTTTCTGGGAGCAGTTAAGGGAGACCTTCATATGTGACATCATAGAGGAAAGACAGCCAAGCACCAACATAAGATAGAAATAACTGTGCCCCAAAATGGTGGTGTACAATTTCTATCAAAAAGTTCACTACGGACCTCTCTCACCCATCAGCTCCGTAAACAAAGGCATCAATGGCCTTCCAGAAGTCTCCACTGAGTAAGTGACGAGTGCTTCTTTCACCGCCTTGTAGCCATTCAGCACAACCACCGGTGTTGTCCCCAGCCAAATGGTGTAGATGTTCCCATAGATGCTTGTTAACTAAAAGATGGAATGAGAGAGTAAATGAGGAAAAACAGGGTAATGGTTGGAGAAAGAGAGGCTGAAAGCAGGAGAGGAAGCAACAGATGGAAACGAATCAAGGAGAGAATCAACCTGGAATTAAGGAGGAATTATTATTATTATTATTATTATTATTAAATTCTTTTCATTTTTCTTTTACAAAATGATCATCTTTCCATTCAACGGTGCATTAACTGGGTACATATATCTTGTGCACATGTTCATATTTAATATACATTTCATGCTATAATACATATCATAAAAGTTACATTCATATTAAAAATTTCATCCTTTTTTCTCTTATCATTTTAATATTCTCATTAGCTCTTATCAGATATTCATTCCATTTCTTTGTTTTCTAACCATCTATAAAATATATCCCATATCATATAATGTTCTGTATCTTCTTGTTCTTTAATTTCCAATGTTAATCTATTCATTTCTGCACATTCAAATATTTTCATAACCACCTCTTCTTCTGTAGGAATGTTATTATTCTTCCAGTTTTGAGCAAATATAATTCTAGCTGCTGTTAAAATATGAATAATCAAATACATTTTTGTTCTTTACTATAGTTATCAGGTAAAATTCCCAATAGAAATGTCTCGTGTTTTAAGTCTATATGTTGTTTTATCATTTTTTCCCAGCTATAAGTGTATTTTTGTCCAGTATCTTTTTGATTCTGTACATGTCCACCACATAGGATAATATGAAAGGAGGAATTTCCTGACATGGAGAACAGGCAACCAGTGGAGCAGCTTGCCACCAGAAGTTGTGGTCCTACAACACTGGAGCTTTATAAGAAGAGATTGGACTGCTATTTGTCTGACAGGGTAGATGGTGTCCTGCCCCTGGTGGAGACTGACTCTGAGGGAGAGGAGGAACAGCCAACAGGGAGTGGAAGGGTGGCTCCGGAGGTTGTGGAGGAGGCTGGGGAAGGGCAGAGGCCGGCTGAGCAGTCAGAGGAGGACCCAGGCCCATCCCCTATCCATCCTAGGCACGCAGGGAGGAGAGGATAAGGGAGGAGAGGCACGCAGGGAGGAGAGACACGGTCTACTCAGGAGGAGACAGCCTTGATCCTCTTCATGGACTGCAGCTGTGACAACTGAATAAGAGGACGGACCTGCACATGGGAGAACGCATTTCCATAACTGGAAATAAAGCTTGGAAATATCTCTAGTTTATGGTTCCTCTCAGAGTTTGGCATCCTTCCCAGTGTGCGTTCTGTTATCTGTGGACGTCCTCCAACTCGTATCTTGCCTGGTTTGTGTTGCTTTTTCCCTTCTTCTTGTAACTGTTTGTGTGGGAGTTTTTTTGGCTTCCGTCAAGGATATTTGGAGCTTGGAAGCAAAGTGAAGGAATAAAAGGGGCTTCACCTGTTTTCTGTGACTGTGTTTGTTTTGTATCCCACCCTGGGTCATCACAGAAGGTTTCCTGCTTGAACAGGGGGTTGGAGTAGAAGACCTCTAAGGTCCCTTTCCAACTCTACAGGTACTCCTCAGACTTACGAGCACAACTGAGCCCAAAATTTCTGTGGTTATGCCAAAGTTCTTAAGCAAATCATTGCAGTTGATAAATTAGCAACCCGGTTGTTAAGTGAATCTGGCTTCCCTATTTGACTTTGCTTGTCAGAAGGTCTCAAAAGGGGATCACATGACCTGGGGCACACAGCAACGGTCATAAGTATGAACCAATTGCCAAGCATTTGAATTTTGTTCAAGTGATCCTGGGGTGCTGCCAAAGTTGTAACTGTGAAAATTGGTCATAAGTCACATTTTTTCAATGCCATTGTAACTTTGAACAGTCATTAAGTGAACTGTTGTAAGTCGAGGTCTAACTTGTATTGTTCCGTTCTGTTCTTACCTGTATTGTTCTGTTTTGTTCTGTTCTTACCTGTATTATTCTGTCCTGTTCTTACCTGCATTATTCTGTTCTTACCTGTAATGTTCAGTTTTGTTCTATTCTGTTCTTACCTGAATTGTTCTGTCCTGTCCTTTCCTGTATTGTTCTGTTCTTACCTGTTTTGTTTTGTTCTGTTCTGTTTTGTTCTGTTCTGTTCTTACTTGTATTGTATTGTTCTGTTCTGTCTTTACCTGTATTGTTCTGTTTTGTTCTATTCTGTTCTGTTCTTACCTGTATTGTTCTGTTTTGGTCTGTTCTTACCTATATTGTTCTGTTCTGTTCTTACCTGTACTGTTCTGTTCTTACCTGTATTCTTCAGCTTTAGTCTGTTCTTACCTGTCTTGTTCTGTTCTGTTCGTTTATCACTTATTTATTTGTCTGTCTGTCTGTTTGTTTTTGCTGGGAATTGAAGCCCACATGTCAAGGTTGAGAAACTCTGCATCTGACAGCTTGCCTTCTGGTTCTGCCTCCTTCCCTCATATTTCTCAGCTCTGTTTCAATTGCTGGGGATCGTGGGATTCCTCTTAAACCCAGTTTTGCTAACTTGCTATACTGCCTGGTTTTACTGGCATGAAATGGTTCTCAGGGCTTCTCAGAATAACTTGCCAGAAATACAGCACACAGCATTTGCGTTACGTACTGCACCAAACACACGTGTGTTGGTCTGGATACAGGTCACCCCAAATGGGCTATACAGCTAGAGAGGGATGGAGGGACAGAGGAAGGGAAGGAGAGAGGAGAGGAGGGAAAGAGGAAAGAAAGAAGGAAGGAAGAAGGAACAGAAGGGGAAGGGAGGAGGAGGAGAAGGGAGGGAGGAAGGGAGGAGGGAGGAGGAGGAGGGAAAGGGAAGAAAGAAAGAAGGAAGGAAGGAGGAGGAGGAAAAGGGAGGAAAGAAAGAAGGAAGGACAGAAGGAGGGGAAGGAGAGAGGAGGAGGAGGGAAAGGGAAAGGGAGGAAAGAAAGAAGGAAGGAAGGAGGGGAAGGGGAAGGAAGGGGGAGGAGGAGGAAAAGGGAGGGAGGATAGGAGGAGGGGGAGGAGGGTGGAGGAGAAGGGGAAAGGGGAGGGGGGAGAAGGAGGGAAAGGGAGGAAAGAAGAAAGGGAGGGAGGAAGGAACCCATCTTGTCATCAAATATAGATGAACTCCAAGCTGTTACAGAAAGTTAAAGTTCTATATTTCCAGTAACATTCTATCTTATTTAAACTCTAAACATATTTTCACCTACATAATGCTTCTTTGTCCCTTTGCTTTATCTGGTCATCGATTTCTAAGCATATGACTCTTGGAAGCTCGCAACCTTAAAAGCAAACAAGGACACATACAATACCAAAATAAACCAAGAACTAAAATCTGCAGTTGCTAGCTAGAGAATCACAAAAGACCTCAGCGTATCCCTTTGTGGGTGGCTCAAAAAAGAGACGGCGTTCACACAACCCCTAACCCCTAAGTCAGTTCTAAGCTACGTTCGACACAACCCCCGTTAAACCAGGATGTTGTGCAAATCCAGCCGTTTGGGTTCGTTGACGATTCAGTGGACCTGAGATCAGACAAGGCCCTTGAACCCTGGACCTGACCCCCTGGATTTTGAACTCCTGTGCTCCTCCATTGTTTACAGTCAGAAATGGTCTATGCCTTTCAATTGGCAAAGGGTTTGAGAGGCCATTCCAGTGTTTGCTTTTCCCACTCTGAAGTCCACCAACTTTGCTGTTTTGTTCCAAACAACCAGAGGCTCTCCTCTTATTCTCATAACTTGGTTGTTGTTGTTTTTTCCCCCAAAACAGAACATGAAAAGTCTAAAATCAATTTAGCCCCACCGGTGGGGTTCCTGCATCCTTTTACAATCGTCTTTAACGTAGCATCGGGGACGGGTGTTTGAACATTGCTAACGTAATCTCTTTCTCCCTCTCCCTTTCTCCCACTCCACCCCTCTCTCTCCCATCCTGCAAAAAGAAATAAATTTGATGGGGGAGGAATTCCAAATTACCTTCACCAACGTCTCCCGTTTCAGAGCAAAATTCAGCAGCCTTAAATTGCCAAAGATGGGAAGAGGAAACGGGCCAGGAGGAAAACGACCCTTTGCTCTTTGCAACTGTAGAAATTGGAAAGCAAAGACGAAGAAGGCAAAAAGCAGGAATCCTTCGATCAGCATCTCGGATACGTCCTCTTTGCTGTAAATCTTCTTTTTAAAAAATTATTGGAAAGGGCAGTCTTCTTCTTTTGCTTCACCTCCTTTCCCACCCCATTCTCTCACTCCCTCTTTTTTCCCCCTCTCCCTTCTATTTATTTTATGGCTTAGAAATAAGTTTTTTTCTTTTTTTTTGCATTTTGCCAAGCCACTCCTTCTCTGGCGGTGGCTTCCAATCATTGGGCTCTTTCCGATGAAAACTAGTTGCAACGGATCTTTGCAGGATAGATGACACCCTTACCCCTTTCCTGGTCACCCACTAGTAAAAATTTTGGATCCTGAAAGGTGGAGCCCGAAGTACATCCAAGGCATTTAAGGGCACTGTCCTAAACATGATGCTTGCATTAAAAATGTGACAATCCAGAACACAATGTAAAATGCTCCTTTGCAATTTAATCGATAATCGGCAATTAACTCAACGGAGGGCCAAACATTTATTAAGTGCGTTTATTTAATTATCTGTTTGTCAAGTTTTAGAAGTTTGGCTCGAGACTCGTTATTTAATTGGCATAACTGCCGGAACCCTGACATGTACAAGTTAACAAGTATAGGTATAAACATAAACAGAACAAAGGAAGTAAATACAGATAAACGGGGACAGTAAGACGGAGTCAGTAGGCATGCTGGTGCGCTTATGCACGCCCCCTTTAAGGACCTCTTAGGAATGGGGTGAGGTCCACAGTAGGCAGTTTGAGGTTGAAGCTGTGAGGGGTTGAGGCGGTAACAACGGGAGTTGGGTAGGGCGTTTCTGGTAGGGGTGGGATTCAAATTTTGTAACAACCAGTTCTGTGGGCGTGGCTAGGTGGGCATGGCCATGTGACTGGATGGGCATGGTTTCTTCTTCTTCTTTTTGGCAGCACCCCCTCCCATTTTGGGGCCTCATGGGCCTCAGGGGAGCCTCCTGGGGGGGCATTGGGGCTCAGGAAGGCAAAAAATGGAGGAGGGGGCAGCTCCCCTATCCATTTTTTGCCTTCCTGGGCCTCAGGGAGCCTCCTGGGAGAAGCAGTAAGTAAGCGAGGAGAATCCCAGCTCAGCTGATCATAGGAACAGCTGATCATCGGGAGGGGAAAAAATAAATAATTTGAGGAGTGACTCGGCAGTCAGCGATGTCAGGCATGTGGGCAACATTGCACATGTGCGATAAGGACTGACTGGGCGGGAAGGGGAGGACAGGTGGAGAGGGGTGGGGCCATCCAGAGGCACGCTTTGCCGGTTGTATGAACTGCGCAGAATCATCACAACCGGTTCTATAGAACCGGTCTGAACCAGTAGAATTCCACCCGATTCCAAGGCATTGACTACTCCGTTGCTGAAGTCGTATTTTCTGCAATCGAGTTTGGAGCGGTTTACCTTGAGTTTGTAGTGGTTGTTTGACCGTGTATTGTTGTGGTTGAAGCTGAAGAAGTTATTGACAGGCAAGATGTTATAGCAGACAATTTTATGTACTATGCTTAGATCGGAGCACAGGCAGCGCAGTTTCCAGATTGTCCAAGCCCAAAATTTCAAGCCTGGAGGCATAAGGAATTCTATTGTGAGTAGTACCTTTGGACCTGCTCAATTGTGTTAATGTCCCGCTTTCTTCCTTTGTGGTCTATCTGATTACAGCTAGTCCTTAACTTATGACCACAACCGAGCCCAAAATTTATGTTGCTAAGTGAAACATTCGGTAAGTGAGTTTTTGCCCCATTTCTTGCCACTGTTATGAATCACTGCATTTGGTAAATTAATAACACGGCTGTTAAGCGAAGCCGACTTCCCCGTTGACTTTGCTTGTCATCATATGACCCAAGGAGCAGTGGTGGTATGCTGCTGGTTCGCACCGGTTTTAGCGATCCGGTAGCAGCGGCCAGCAGTTAGCCCCATCCACCCGCCCCTGCCCCTTCCGGTCTATATTTTTTTTATTTGTACCTCAGCTGTTTTACTCACCAGTGCTGATAGTAAGGTATGTTTTTATGCTTAAAATTCGTGGGCGTGGCCTAGCTGGCCTCCTGCACCACAGCGGGAGTATGGCATTTTTGCCCTCCCCGTGCTCCGGAGGTTTTCCTCGAGCCTCTGGGAGGGCAAAACGCCCTCCCTGGGCTCTGGAGACTCTTTGGAAGCCAGAAACAGGCCCATTTCTGGCCTTCCTGAACTTCCAGGAGGCCCGTTTTTCGCCCTCCCTGAGCCTCTGTGTGTGCCCTGCATTTACCGGCGTCCAAAACGAGCTGCGTGGAGAGGGGACGGGTGGGGTGGGCGGGCCCAGCCAGGAGTGGGATTTGGCGGTTCTCTGAACTGTGCAGAATCTTAGCTAGGGGCTCTCCCGAACCGCTGCGAACCCCCAGCAGCCCACCCTTGCCTGTAACATCACAGAGAAGATGCTAGTATTGTTATAAAAAAAAAAGGAAAGCCATTGCATAAATTTAAAATTTATACAGAACTTCTTTCTGGAACTGTTTCTTGTTTAAAATTCTACATTTCCTCCGAGTAGTCTTTAATCTTACGCCTCCCCAAAGGCGGATATTTAATACAGCTCCACTAAAAGATATTTAATGTTGCTTTTCTCCAAAGTGGTATTGAATGTCCACTAATAAAACAACTGTTGGATGAATGAGGAGGCTATTAAATGTCTTTTCTCTCCTCCGAACAGATATTCACCTGGTGGTCTTGAATTCCCCCCCGCCACTTTTCCGCTTGAAATGTTTTTAGTTTCTACTGCTTTTCCTGGCTCCAATTCTGCCCTTGTTCCAGATATAAGACGATGCGATAAGCCGTCTTTTCTTTTTTGTAAACAGTTGCGGTAAAAGAGGGTTTCTGCGCGTCAAATGTTGTGAAATAGAGACATTTCACATACACACACAGTAGAAAAATCTATGAGACTGGGGCCTTTGTGCCGAAAGTTGCGTTTCTACAGTCACATAGGTGTGTCAGGCGATATACTCAGTTAGCCAGTTAAAAGCTGGATGGAGACATTGCAGGCGGCAGTTAGTATGGTTAGTGTGAATTGCAATGTTGCAATGTTATGGGTTTGATTTTTGAGGTTTTTCCAGCTGCGTTGTTTCTCTGTTGTGTCACTGTTGAATAAAATTCACAGAGTAGGTAAATTTGATTGCCAAGGGATGTGTGGTGCACAAGACAGTAAAGTGGAAGGAAGGAAAGAAGAAACAAAGAAAGATAGGGAGGGAAAGGAGGAAGGAAAGAAAAAGAGAAAGAAAGAAAGAAAGAAAGAAAGAAAGAAAGAAAGAAAGAAAGA